GAGTAGATACAATTTTCTATGGCTTTTAAACCTCTGTATCATGAGGATATAACTGTGTTATTAAAAGTCAGTTGAAGTACTTTAAGAGTTAATTTATGAAAATCTTGCCTGTATTTTACCTCTATTTATTTTACTATTCTCATTTTGATATTTGCTCCCAGTGTTCCCTGTTTTAAGCATGGCAATAGTAGTTATGCTTTTATTTAATCTTTGACTATATTTTTGACCTTATAAAAATCAATTCCTTCCCCGGTACCGATAAAAATGAAAAAGACAAAAAAAAAAAAAATCAATTCCTGAGGGGCTGGGGATTTAGCTCAGTGGCATAAGTGCCTGCCTTGCAAGCAGGCAGTCGTGAGTTCGATCCCTGGTACCGATAAAAAGGAAAAAGACAAAAAAAAAAAAAAAATCAATTCCTGTTGTGAAATGGGGCCACAAGATCAAGAGGTAGGGGTGTTGCATTGTTTTATTGTCATCTTGATTAAATTGGGAACTACACTTCCCAGAATTCCTTTCTCTGCAGTTTAGAGAAGGAGTTGGCCAAAGAAGATCTTGTGCAAGCGTTGAGCATGAAAGCAAGGCAGTGGCTCCTTTACTTGGTGCAGGTCTTTGTTGTCAGAATAGGGCAGGATCCATGTTATCCTGATTCTTCTCTTAGCATCCAGCCTTGCTCCTGATGGCTGCCCTGTTGATGGACTGTGGCCTGGCTGCAGGTGCCTGATGACATATCCATCAGGAGCAATGACTTCCTGAGACTTCTTGCAAATCTTGTTTGGGAAATCAAACATCTGAATCCACATCAGTAGCTCAGATTCTTCCTGCACTGGTTATCTATCCACTCCAGTGATAGAAGTTAGCCTAATGACTTACAATTCTCTCAAATTTCCCGCAATTTGGTTTTTCACTTCCTTAGCTTGTGTGGGGAAGTGAACTGTGTAAGTTCTATTAATATAATATCTCCTTTATTCTGCAGCTTTTAGAGCAACTCTGCTTCCCTGTCTAGCACAAGATAAGTATTTTGATGGTTCTTATTTCATATTGCCAGTTTGCTTTCCTGAAAACTCATACTCATTTCAGCACCCACCAGAAGTTTATGAAAATACCCATCACCTTATCCTTTTGACAGTTTTGATGTTTTAACTCACTTTCAATTTTACAGGGAAATGTCAGTATCTTTCAGTTTCATATCTTTTTGGTTACTGATGAAATTGAACTATTCTTTCTGTGACTTTTTGATGATTTTGTCTTTTCGTTTGGGAACAATTACAATACTTAAGAAGAAGATTTTTCAAAAATATGAGAAAACTTTGTAACAGCTTTATTCATGGTTTTCTCCTTTAGTCACTTGGTTCTCCCTACATAAGTTCTTTCATAGGTTTAAGCTTGTTGAGTTTTTCTATTCTTTTTTGAGGCATAATTAAGCATGATGAATTCATAAATCAGTAGATAGGAAATTAATAAGTTAGGGCTTTTGGACTGGAAACCAATGGAAACCAAGTCAGCTGAACCTAAGGAAAATAGTATAATATGTGAATTAATATAATTCATTACCTTTGGAGATTTAGGTATCGGCTCTGTGAGGATAATACCAATGCAGAAACAAGTAAACTCTACAAATATCAATTCTTTTTTTAAATTTTATTCAAGAGTTAAGTTCCCAGGAGAGAGTTTTAAATTGACCTACTTTCTGTCAGAGGCTGATCTTCTGGCTCCATCTGGTTGCACAGTGAAAAGGCCTCATGGAAAGAGGCTACAACACTCCTTTCTCATTTATAGTTAGAGACAGGCACTTAAATTTATCATTTAGCAAGAGTATTTCCAATTCAGCCAAAATAGTTTCCCAAAGGAAACTGGGGCAGTCCCGAGCATCCACAGACAGAAAACAATACTCTCAGATGAGTTGTCACTGACACCGAATACAGGCAGAGTGAACACATTTTTAAATCTCCAATTTTTTTTAACTACACTTATCTTGAGAAATGTCATTTATAAACTTATCTAGGAAATATGTAAAATAAATAAATTTCTCTTTAAAAATTTTGCAAGATTATCTGAGTTTTATAGCTTTTGCAACCACTGGGAGATCAAATTTTGGTTGGGAACATTCTGCATGTGTTTATCACACTAAATAGAAAAACACTTGTCAGAAAACGAGATAATTCTTATACAGAAATTTTAATATGTGGAATTTCTATGAGGAATAATCTCTAAAAGGATGATTTACTAAAACATACAAGCGTTTACCAGGTTTGGCAAATCCTATCCACAACTTTCAGCATCTTTTATATAGAACTTCTCTTTCTCATACATTTTTCTTTTGCAGTTTCATAGCTAAAATATGAGTGTATATTATCAAGCAACTACAGAGATGATTTTTCCCCACTTACTACTGCAGCAATTATTTTCTAGTAAGAATAAACAGTAAGACCTGATGTTCTGAATTGTTGGTTGAAAGCCAGTGTTCATTTGGCAGGTAGGTAAGCACTGTAAATAGAAAAACTACTTTGAAAGGAAACCCAAACCTGAATTTATAAGCAATTTAGGGTTTTAAAAAGAAAGAATAAGAAAATGCTGCTATAACATGAGGGAGCTTTAAGGATACAAAGAGCTTCTTTCACATTTGCTTCCTCTCTCGGGTCTTTGGTTTCTGGTTTCCATTTTTCTGTGCATCTCCATCTTTTCCCATCTGTTTCTCTGTCCCTGCCTTTGCTGCCTCTATACACAGTGTCTTTTTCTACATAGAATCGTGGTTATAGCTTCTCTTCCCACAAGCTGCCTGCTAATAGCCACTTCTCTTTATCCATAGTACCTGTTTCAGACAGGCTCATGAAGACTCAGTTCAAGAACACACTTTTAGCTTTGCTGTAGCCAGTTGTGTGTTTGTGACACTTTTTTGCTCAAGGGGATATGAACAGAAATATAGGACTTCCAGGTTATACCCTTAAAAGGCGTGTGCATTTCCCACTTGTATTTCCTGCTGGTCATGGAGAACAGGAGATAGTCTGAGCTGCAGAAGCAGCCCTGGGCCCAGAGAGGAGGCATTGGGTAGATGGCACAAGCAGCCTGCAGGCTTGAGCTGCCTACCTTCGGGCTCTCACGTGGGAAGAAACTTCCATCGATTCCATTCTGAGGTCTCTGTCACAGAGGCTTTTATTACATTCTAGACAAAATATACCCTTCAAGATTTGAACTATGTGAGGGTGAGTGAGAAGGCTATTTGTTTTTCAGAATTTTTCCCAGCACTTAGAACAGCTCTTATGAAGCACTCAGAAAATACGGATTGAATGTTGCCATAGGATGAGTTTGTTGAAGTCCTAACTTCAATGCCTCACAATGTGACTGTATTAGGAGATAGGAGCTTCAAGGTTAAACGAGGTTATTAAGGAGGGGTCTAATCTAGTGTGACTAATGTCCTTAGAAAGAGAGGACATTTAGACACAGACAGGCACAGAGGATGTCATGATATGAGAGAAAGACAGCTATCCATAAACCTGGAAGAGAAGCAGCATTGGTGGAAAGTAGCTCTTCTGACACCTTGGTTTCAGACGTCTGCATCCAGAATTGTAAGTAAGTAGGTAAGCACATTTCTATTGTTTAAACTTCCTGGTCTGTATAAATTTACTACAGTAGCACTATCAAACAGATTCAAATGTATTGCTGATAGGGTAGTATTGAAGAAGTTTATCTCTTTCTAATAAATGAATCTCTAGTAGATTAATCAAGGTTAAAAACAGATAAAAAATTTTTTTCTGGCAAACAACATCAACATGTGGAAGCATCATTTAAATACAGAGACCATTAAAAATTAAAAGTTCAATATTTTCAAATGCATTGATTTTAGTCACCACAACCTCCATAACTAACTAGAAAATGTAATTACTATTGAGAAAGTCAGAGGATGTCATGGTTTATGTCTGTGTCCCCCAGGCCTCATGAGTTTGCATTGTTCATATGTGATGGTTCATTGTATAGTGCTTGGATTGATGGTGTCAGTGCTCCACCCACATTGGGTAGATGGCCACATAGGGGTGGAGCCAGGATGTGATGTAATGGCAGGAAGAAGGTGTGTCTTTCTCTTTGCTGGTTCGAGTTTGCTGTTGCCGGCTGCCATGAACTGCAGCCCAGCCATGCCTACCTGTCTTGGAGCCAACTGAGTGTGGAGGGAAATCTCCAAAAACTGTAAGAAATAAACCTTTCCTTTCCCAACTTTGGGCTTCAGGTATTTTGTCTCAGCGACGAGCATAAAGTAACTAAGACAGAGGATATATTTATATTTTAAATTATTTTTCAGGCAATAGTAAAAATGTATGTGCTCAGATCAGAAAAAAAAAGTTACTTAGAGTTTTCTATAACATTTATGAGCTAAAATCCATAATATACAAGTGAGAGGATAAACTTCTACAAATTATGTATTTTAATTAAGAATTTCCATTTAAGATCGCAAAAATCTACTTTAGCCAGGTTATGGAGGAAATCCCCATAATTTGTTGGAAAGCTATGGAGAGTCTCTCTCAGAACCCCTGGGCAGGAGGGTGGGCCTTAGTGTGTGGAGCACTGCCCCTAGGAACCGGGCCGCTGTCCTGCTCTGTGTGTGAGCCTCTCTTGGTCTCTCCTTTTATGCATTAGCTTCATTCTTGCACCATCCACCTTCCTGATCACTGATCTCTGAGCCAGAGCCTCATGTGTTGGCAAGCATGTCATACACATGTGGCAGATGTATAGCTGAGGAGTTGTTTATGAGGGGCTGAGTTGTTGTTGGGCTAATACCAGAGAAGTCTGTTATATTTACTTTTAAAAGTTCACATGAATGTATATATTTCCATCTGAATATGTTCTTTGACATAAAAAGCCATATATCTAATTAGAACATACTTTCATAGGGAAAATGTTGATACACCAATTCAAATTGATAAAGTAATTATATTAGTCAGGTTTTTACTAGAGAAAACAGATATAACACAAAATAGACACATGTGTAAAAAATTACGAGATTTGCTCACCCTGGTCAGCCAAAGAGTTGGATGAGGAATCTGCAGAGGGTGTCTGCATGCTGGAGGCCGAAGGATTCAATCCACAGTCCGGATGGAGTTCATCCCTGTGTCTTGTGCAAGTCTACACCAGCAGCCCAATAGGTCTGTGACAGAAGGCTAAAGGTTCTACACCAGAAGGCTGAAAAGTCTACACTGGAAGGCTGAAAGATTCAAGGAAGAAGCCTAAGAGTGTTCACTGGAAGCCAGAAGATGATATTCTAGCTGAAGGTGAAGACTGGAGCTCCTCCAAAGAATGGCACCTCATCCATTCCTCCTTCCCTTTTATACTGTCCCAGAGATGAGCTACCCTAGGGTGGGTCCTCTACATCCTAGGGTGTAAAATTGCTAAGCTTATTTAGTTAAGTTCTAAATGTCTCAATTTGACACAATCAATCAAGCACTATAGTAATTTATGCTTTCTGATCACATAGGTTCTATATGACCACAAGAAGTTAATGGTGAGAATTAGGGTAGCTGGTAGATAGCCATAGTATGAGGTTAACCTTTGTTTACTGTCATTACAATCATACAGGACATTGAGGTTGGGAAATAAACAAAACTGATGATATACACATGCCTATCTTAAAATTATGAATGCCATCTGTTGAAAACAGAACGTTTTATAGATGTGTTTCCTGTTAATATGTTTTAACTGCCCTTGCTTAAAAAAAAACTGATAATAAATCAATGCTTTCAAAGACTCACCACAGTGTTAGGAGGAGGTGCAGCCCCTACTCAAGCCATTCACATGAAACTATCCAGAAGTCTATCAGACATATTCCTTTCAGCCTGAAAATGGCAGAAATTCCACTCTGAATTGGCCGGAGCAACAAATGAATTAGCTTGTATAACTAGAAAGTCCAAGGATAGGGTTGATTTTCGGTATAGTTTATGTGGAGACCCACATGACATAACCATAACCCAGGTCTGTCCATCTCTTGGATTGCCTCTGTTTGTCCTCAACTATGTTAGATTTGTTTTAGCACAGATCCTACCATCAGGATTGTGAAATGATTACCTGTGCTATCTGCAGATCCAAGCCAAAGGGCATTTCTGCTGGACACTGTGCTATGTAGAACTTCTCTTCTAGTTCTGTCCTGGACAAACCCCTCCACAGGGCCAAGGCAACATGCTTCTTACAATCTTCTTCTAGTTTTTTTTATTTTAAAGAGAAAAAAAACCAATAAAAACAATAACAGGGAATTTCATAACAATAATCGATATTAACAATGGTTAATGTATTATGTACTGTTATCTTCAAAATAGTTGCTCAGATTAAAAGATACAGATCTGAAAAATTAATCAAACTATACCATTCTTTTCAATGAACTAAAAGAAATTATGATTATCTTAGTTATCTTCTTGTTATGGATTAAAAACTGGTGGCCAACTTAAAGCCAGATGAATTAAATCAGCATGGTGCTGAGCATAGATGTTCCATTTGAGGAAAGTTGCCAGCATAGAGATGTAGAGAAGATGAGTGAAGCATTGTGGATTTCTCAAAGTGTTGCTGTTTGAGCTGTTAGTTCTCCTGGAGGAGCTTGTCATGACTAGCTTCTCCAGTGTAGTTTAACCATCATCATTGGAGGAGCTGGGGACCTTGCTGGTGAGAGTGGCTGTTATTCACTTTGGGGAGCTCTGGTCCTTACATCAAGAATCACTTCCTGGCTCCAGAGGGGAAGACATGTGCTGTTTAATCTCCAGGAGAAACTTGTCATGCTGGCTTTGTGTCATGTACTAAACTGTTCATATCATCGGAGGACCTCGGGACCTCCATCACTGAGGATGGCTGTGGTGCTTTTCAAGGCAGCCCTGGTTCTTATTATCAGTGTGACTTCTTGGCTCCAGTGTAGAACACTCAACCTAAAAAAATGTTCAATATTATACTGGCAAGCAGAATGCAGCAAATCATCAAGAAGATCATACGTGATCACCTTTTGGGATCCATTCCAGGTTTGCAGGGATGATTCAACAGATGGAAATCAATAAACACAACACATCACATGAACAAAAATTACATGATTATCTCAATAGATGCAGCAAAAGCTTGTAATTAAAGTCCAACATGCATTCATGATGAAAATCCTACAAAAAATTGAAATAGATGGTTTTTACCTCAATCTGATAAAATCCATCTATGACAAACCATTAGCCAATATCAGACTAAGTGGTAAAAAATGGAAATGGATTTTGCCCTAAAATCAGGAACAACACAAGGATGTCCACTATTGCCACTCTTGTTCAATATAGTTCTAGAGTCATTAGAGCAATTATACAGGAGAGAGAAATAAAAGATAGGAAAGGAAAAAGTTAAATTATCATTATTTGCAGATGACATGATACTCTACATAGAAGATGCAAAAAACTCCAACAAAATCTTTCTAGAATAAATAATCAAGTTGAGTAGCATGGTGGGATACAAGTTCCACACTCAAAAATCAATAGCATTCCTGCACACAAACCACAAACATCCTGAGAGAGAAATTAGGGAAACCATACCCTTCACAATAGTATTCAAAAAATGAAATTCTTAGGAATCAATCTAACAAAAGAAATAAAAGATTTATACATTTTAAATTACAGCACTCTTAAAAAGGAGACTGAAGATGCCAGAAAATGGAAAGATACCCCTTGCTCTTGGATAGGAAGAAATAACATTGTGAAAATGACCATATTCCCAAAACTGTTATACATGTTTAATGCAATCCTGATCAAAATACTATTAGCATACCTCACAGGTCTAGAGAAAACATTCCTGAAATTCATTTGGAAATAGAAGAAATCTATAATATCAAAGGCACTCCTGGGCAACGAAGGCAAGGCAAGACGCATCACAGTCCCTGGTTAGAAGTTACACTACAAAGCTACGGTGATAAAATCAGCATGCTAATGGCAAAAAAAAAAAAAAAAAAAGAAAAGAAAAAAAAGAAAAGAAAAGAAAAGAAAAAGCCCAGACCTCAGGACCAATGGAACACATTAGAAGATGCAGACACAACTCCAAACACACTAAGCCACCTTATCTTTAAGATAGAGACTGAAATGTCCACTGGAAGGAAGATAATTCCTTTAATAAGTGGTTTTGGAAAAACTGGCTTTCCACTATGCCAGAGACTAAAACTAGATCCATGTCTATCACCATGCAGTAAACTACAATCAAAATGAATCAAAGGTCTAAATAGTTGAACAAAAACACTGTTTCAATATTTAACACTATGAGAGAAAGTTGATAGAAATCTAGTAAGACATAGGGGTAGGCAGAGAGTTCATGAGCAAAAAACAAACTGCACAGGAAGTACTTCAATGAATCAACAATTGGGATTTCTTCATATTAAAAAATTTTCTGCACATCACCAACAAACTGAAAAGAAAACCCATGAACTGACAAAAAATTTTACTGAACTGCCCTCTAAGGACTTTTACCTAGAACATAGAAAGAATTGAAAAAATCAGATCCCCCAAAATCAAAACTCAATCCAAAAATGAGTATCTAAGATAAATATATACTTTTCAGATGAAGAAATACAAATGGAAAATATGTGAAAAAATATATGTGTATGAAAAATGTTCAACCTTGCTAGTCATTCAAGAGATGCAAATTAAAATGACACTGAGATTCCACCTCACCCCAGAAAGAATGGCCAACATCAAGAAATCAACCAGTAGCAAATGCGAGTGGGACTGTGGGAAAAATGGAACCCTTTTCCACTGTTGGTGGTAGTGTAGTCTGGTACCATCATTGTGGAAATCAGTGTGGAGATTTCGCAAAAAAAACTCTAGGATTAGTTTCCATTTGACATAGTTATTCCCCTTCTATGTGTTTTTTCTGGAAGAATAAAAAACATCCTAGCACAGCAGTATATGTGCCCCAATGTTTATAGCAGCACAATTTGTAATAGCTAAATTGAAAAACAACCCAAAGGCCCATCAACCATAGAGTGGACAAAAAAGATGTGTCATATTTAAATAATGGAGTACTACTTAACTATAAAGAATAACTCTAGGCTTTCATAGGCAAATGGATGCAACTACAGACCATACTCCTAAGTGAAATAAATCAAACTGCTCTGTGCAAGCGAAAGGGAAAGAAACTGTTCACAAGGAAAGAACAACTAGGATGGAAGAAAGGAGAAGTGAAGGAAGAGAATATATATAACAGTTAACATAGTTATAATACTAATTTCTTTTGGTTCATTGAGAAAATTGGTTTGTGCTTGTATTGTTTGACCAATTTTGCATACCTATATCTTGCAATCTGAAGACAATGTGCAAAATATTAACCATTGTTAATTTCTTATTATTGTGTTGTGAAAATATGTATCATTTTAAATTTTTGTTTTCTTTTCTCTCTTTAAAGTTAAAAAAAGAATTGAGGGAAGCTTGAGAAGAGAAAGAAACAGACCCAAGTGTGTGCTATCTTCTCATCAGTTGTGCTCCACTGCACACACTCGAGGATTTGAATCTGCTCTTGCTGGTCAATATAAAATATTTGACCTGGTAGAAGAAAACAATTTTTATTCAACATTGTATCTGTTTTATGCTTTTAACAAAGTTAGACATATAGTTCTATATTTAAAATGTAATGAAAGAAAGTGAGTAACTATCTCACTTCTAAGAGAGATCCTAGTATTTTCTCTGGTGGGGAAATTTAAAGTCACTTACCCACCTCAGAATGAAATGCTGTGGGATTGAGAGACCTTAAATCTCAACCTCCATACCCTGAAGTTGGGACCAAGATGCAGCCAGCCTGCTTAGGCTAAAATGGAGGGTGGGGTAGATCCCAAGCAAAAATTGGGAGTGTTGCTGGAGACAGGGTCCAAGTGCAGTACTGGAAAATTTTGTCTGGAAGTCTGTTCTAGAATACTTGATGCCTTGTTTGATGATACAGCCTGGAAGGATCTGGTTGACCCTAGAAGAAGAGGATCACTATTAGGAAAGGAAACTGGGTCTACAGACAGAGAGACTGAGGGAGATACAGTAGCCATGAGCAGGACAATTGAGGAGACAAGGGAGAGGAAAAAGAGCATTATAGCTCCGGGGTGTCCAGGCAACAGAGACAAACCAGAGAGTCCAGGTTTGATGGAAGTAGACATTTAGAGGAACAGGCCACAGATCCCAGTCTGGTATGAAGCATTATGTGTGAAAAGCTTGCAGGTAGACTAAGGAACTTCCAGGTGGACAGAAACATGTGAAGTGGTGCCCGTGAGCAGAGTTGTTCATGAAAAAGAGAAAGACAAAGGGGATAGGGCAGAGGAATGAAAATGGAGGTTGGCTTTCCCACTTCAAAAATTAGACTCTAGAGAAGAGCTGGTCTCATGAGTGTGATATTAGAATCATTATGACCAAAAGAGAGTTGATGTACTTTTCAAAAAGTATCTGAGGAGAATGTTAGTTCTTTTAACAATTCCCAAGTCATGCTTATGTTTGTTAAACCAGAGTGCTAAGCCCTTTGGAAAAGTGTAGCTTTTACTGATAGTCAGAAGCATTTAACTTCACCGTTACACAGGTAGAAGACAAGGTGCAACTTGACCTCAACCACAGGTGGCAGGATTTACTCATATCCTTCTTCTACTACTATCTCTTTCATTTCACTTCACTCTGATTTTCTAGGGTGGTGTTTACACTTAAGCTTAGGTTTCTGGCTAAAACTTTTGAATTATTGGATGAAATAAAAGTATGGTGTTTTGAATAGTACAGAGACTCACCAAATATTTGAGTTATGTGGAAAAAAAATAAAATAGGCCATAAATTTCCTAATGCATTTGTTTTGATTCATAGAAAAACATTTGGGAAGGACTCATCCACTCTCCTCTTGATAGGAGATGATTCTATCTCAGCAATGGTTACCTGTCCCATGAGGACTTTACAAATAGCAGAGTGGACAAATAAAGAATATCCAGGATACTTGAAAATCACTGTTTCCTCCTCTGGTTCTATTCAAAGCAAGCTGTTGATAAAGTCTAAAACTGTTCTTATTTTCAGTGCTGGAGGTCCACCACTGAGCTACATTCCTGAATCACTAACTTTGTTTTCTATCAATAACTTGCAAATATTAGCAGTTGCTTTTGAAAACAGAAAACATTCTACTGGGGAAAATGTGTACTTCTCAGGAATGCTCAAGAGTGGAAAGAGGTCTGGAGATCACTTAGCTTACATCCCATTTAACACAAAGATCCCCACCCTTTTCTGTTTGTCTTTGAGAATAAGAATTAATAAAACATTGAAAGGTGCAATGATTCTGAAGCATTGCTACAAACCAAGGCTTCAAAAAGGCTTGGAAAAGGCTTCAAAACAGAGGCTGTAATTTAAGAGTGAGGAGTAGTAAGAACCCCACAGGGAGCACAGAGAGAATGATCCCCCATGGCTTCTTGGCACCAGAAAAAAAATCCATTTCATTTTATTTAAGATGAAATTTCAAAAATGTACTTAGAGTACCATGAAAATCACCAACTTATTAAATGCTTCAATATGAAAATATAATGGCCCCAAAAGGAGATAGGAATCCATTTCTCCTTTTGTATTGAAATTATTATAATAGGAACACTGGGGATTTTAGCTTCTTGAATTTTGCTTCTTGACACTGTAGCTTTTTATTAATTATTTCTCATACTGTATCATCACAGGGCACATATCAGCTTGTGATATTTGGAAAGACTTTAATAGCTTGATCCTAGGCAACTTGTGCTCCTCAGAGTCTGGAGGCTAGCCTGCACCATCCCTGCATCCCTGCCTACCTCAGATAACAGCAAAACCTCAAGTCAGCATGCTTTGGAAAGGCCCTAAGCAATACGGAGAGGGCCAGAGAACCCCAGGACACTCCAGTCTAAAGAAACCAGAAACATGACAAGAGATAGAATAAAAAAAAATCTCCAGCTGCCAAACGTGAGAAAATACGCCCAGGAGAAGTAAACATGAAAGAGAACCAGCAAGTAACCATCCAATACTAGACACAGCATCAACTAAAATAAAGAAATACCTTCATGACTTTATAGATGAATTTAAAACTGTGCTTCTGATCCAAGCAAAGCAAGATATAAAGCGATTAATTAAAGAAATGATAAGCCCCACCCAAGAGAACACATGTGGAAGAATGGAGGAAATCAGAAAAGAAATTTCTGAAGAAGAATTTAAACAAATCCCAGAACACATGAAACAGATACAAAGAGATTACCAGGAAACTAAAAACTCCATTGAACACTGGCAAAATGCCTTGACCGAAACTGAAGTTAGCCTTTTGAAACTTGAAGAGAGATTTATGATGTATGATTGTGAAAGAAAAGACCTCTTAAAAATAACAACAAACCAGAAACAAACAATTCAAAGGCTAGAAGATGACAAAAGGATACACAACTTAAGAATAAAAGCATGTGAGCGAGGAAGCAGCAGCAACCAAAAATGAGCTACAAAGAATATTCACAGATATATTAAAGGAAAACTTTCCAAATATAGGAAAAAGGAATGATATCCACATAAATGAGGCATACAGAACATCAGCTACCTACAACCAAAACAGATCTACACCCAGACATATAATAATCAAGATTCCATCCAAAAGAACAGAATACTAAAAGCAGCCAGGGAAAAGAAGCAGATAACCTACAATGGAAAAATTATCAAAATAACAACAGACTTGTCAACACAAACTCTCAAATTGAGAAGGGAATGGGGGGGAAATAGTCCAAGTCCTGAAAGAAAATAATCTGCAACCAAGACTGATGTATCCAGAAAAACTCTCTCTCAAAATTAATGGAGAAATAAGATGCTTCCAAGACAAGGAGGAACTGTGGGAGTTTATGGCCACCAACCCAACCCTACAGAGAGTGCTGAAGGACATTCCAGAGAGAGAGAGGAAGCGATACCAGGATTCCAGCAACAATGGCAGAGAGGCCTCAATAAACGGGGTAGACAGTGGAATGAGGGAGTAAGGTGGACAAATTATAGCAGTGAAGTGGAGTAGCAGACATGAGGCAGAGGTGGTAAACTATAATCTTTAGATAGCTTTGATACATTATAAAAAAAGAGGCAGAGGTCATTGTTAATAGTGTATCAGGATTTAAAAGACACAGTAGTCTTATCGCCCTGTTTAATTTGAATTTAATTTGTTCTGGTCTGTCCACTCATATCAGATTTGAGGGCACAGAAATCTGACCCAAAAATAACAGGTTATACCATGGTAACTATCCGTAATTTCCTATTAACTTAAA